TTGGTGATAATTTAGGAGGGGGGGGGGGGGGGGGGGGTCCGGAAGAGAGGGTGAGGTGAGGGGGGATCCAAACTCAGCCCTCGGTCAAGCTTGTCTGACATCGTGGCGGCAATATATGGCTTACCCACAACACCATAAGGCACTCCTGAATGAAGCGAAGCGATTATTGGATATTCCTTGAGCGTTCAAGGTGGGCAGGCTGGTGTCTCTTTCATAATCAAAGGACGATCGGAACAACTCGGATACAATGCGGTGTTACCCACCCCCTCACCGACAACTGAACCAGAGGTTTCTAAGGGGCAACAACCGTTTGTTGGTAGCAGATGAAGGCCGAACCTCCTCTTAATAGAAAAAAAATGCCGGAACCTGGCCCTGCCTTTGCCCTGCCGGCCAGCACTGCTGTGCGAGGAGTATCTCGTGAACCGACGTTGTTTTACACCGTGAGGTACGTAGCTCTCAAATCCTCCGCTGGTTGACAGTCATCACACACCCGGCGTCACAGTAGACTTGAGCACGCACGCGCTACAATGACTAGGGGATGAAAATGAACTTAAGTGCTATAGGAAATCTACTATTGGAGTCGTGAATTGCCGCATTGGAGCCAGAGAAACTCGATCATGACGCTACATACAGCTTCAGCTCGGCATCTACTGCCCCCCGGTGCACCCACAAAAAGGGATTGATCGACGGACACTATTGTAGAGACAAGGGCAAACAACGACGCCTATTAGATCTAATGCGGACTACACCAAAATATGACAGACGGCAGCGTGGGTGGGGCTGAATAAAATCACCTGGCGAGGGAGCGTGCCGACTTGAGAGTCCGAGGCTCGTCATCGTGGAAGTATTGAGACACGCCGAAGTCTGCTATCTTCGCACGGTCGTCGTTCCCGATGAGCACGTTCTATTTTTTGTTTCGTGTTTTTGTCGTTTTCGGAGGTGTTTTGTATGTCGTTCGTGTGCCAACCGAGACGAAGGAACAAGAAGAAAATGAAAACGGCGGAATACAGCGGTGGGATTGTTAAGGGGGGGTGTTTTGGCAAACCCAACAGGCACGAATGCAATAATTATTACAGAACTCCGCCAATTTGTTTACGAGACGTACAACGAGGCAGGGAGGCCGGTGAGGTCGGGCGGATGGTAGCGCTTCGCAAGCAACCGGCACCCGTCCAGGATCGGCAGAATAAAAAATGTTGCGCATAACGGCTCCCGAGGCAATGTGTGGCATACGTGCAGCGTTGGACAGACCATGGCCCCGGGCCAGTTAGTTCTGCGTGCGGCACACAAGCCGTCCAGGTCCGCCTCAACCCTTGCAGCACGAGCAGAGCACACAGCATGTTGTGGCGGGGAACGAGAAGTTTTCCCGCACCTCATCCGGCGTCATTTGTCCCGGTCGAATTCGCTAAACCATTCTAGTTCGCCGTAAGGGATATTTGCAACATCCCTTCGCGAGTCCCGGTGACATGCCGGCCTGGCTTTGTTTCACCGCTGATGTGATTCATCTAACACACACCCCTCTGGTACCAAACCGTCTCCGGCGGGTATCAACCCTTCTTCCATGCTGCGTACGTATCTCAGAAGCACAGAGAAGACAGCAACAACGCCCCCAACATCAACATCAACACCAACGTCAACAACAACAGAAACAACCACCGCCATAGTAACAGCAACAAGAAAGTGCGTCATTTTTCTATAAAATAATGGCATATAACTAACCCACTGTCCCAAGATATCTGCCGGTTATAGACCGACCGACCGACCTACCTACCTCAGGCTTGAGGTCACGGTGCGCGATGAGCTGCAAGTGAAGGTATTCCAGCCCCGCCAGGACGTCGGCAAAGTAGCGGGCCGCTGTACGTGCGTCCAAGCAGCCGCCTTCACTAACTGTGGTTGGTTTTGGCGTGTGTGTGGGGAGGGCGGCAGAGGGATCAATCGCTTAAAAAGAATATCGTTCGCATAGGACCGAAGCAATTCTTTCGCAGAGCTTGAAACAGGCGGGGTAGGAATCGCGAGGTGTGGGCACGGAGGTTTACGAACCTGACTTGATCAAAAGCCCATTCACGCGTTGTGCTTCCAGTTCCCCCCCGCCTCCCGCCCCCTAAAACAAGTGCAGGCTGCCGCGTTTCGCTCATGTTACCGAAAAAGACAAAATAATAAGGGCAAGCACGTAGAGCGGTGTCCCCTGGCGGCCTTTGGTGCGGAATCTTCTACAAAGAGACGCAGGGCTGCCTCATGATCGATACGGATGCTCTACTAAATCGACGCGCTTCGAGTTTGTTGGTAGGCGTGCCTGCCTAACAACCGACTTGGAGCATGACATCGAGAGACGGGTGTGAAAGTGACAGTAGCAATGCTTCTCGCTCCCAGGCCGCAGCCCGGACAACCATAAAACGCGGAAGGAACACTAATTTGGAAAAGCGGGCACAATAAAATGGCCTTGTTTCAGGCCGTGGGATGGTTGACGGAGTGCACTCTCCGGCACATGTTCTTGTGAAGAGAGAAGGTGCGAACCTAGCGGGGTGGTACCCATCCTGTCCTTCGCGACCCCGCGTCCCTTGTCAAGCTGCACGCCGCACCACGTATCGTTCAAGAACCTAGTTCAAGGAGCCCCCAACTCGGGGGCTACCTCTTGTTTTTGGACTTTTCGCTCATCAGGTGATGGGATTACACTGCTGTACTGACCGCTCGGAGAGCACTCGTAGCGGCCCATCTCCTGCTCGACGCAGCACATGACGGCTCCTCGCTCGACGTACTCCATCACCATGTACAGGGAGCGATCCCGGGGGGCATCGATCACCTCGACGAGCTGGACAACGTTTGGATGCACCAGCTTCTTCATGATGGCGATTTCTCGCTGCACCTGTGCGTAAGTGATATGCATATAGGTATACTTGTTTTCGACAGGTTTGCCGTGGGTGGTGCTGTCGGGGGGGGACTATTCCGCAGCAAAAATTGGTTAGGGTGGCGGGCTGGTGACTCGTCGGAGCAAGAAAAACACGGCCGTTCGGCGATTGACTGTGCGTGCATCGACGGAAAATTATCACCGTGAGCCTGTTAGCCTGCACAGCAAGCCTTTTCGCCATACCCATCGTGCGTTAAAAAGCACTTCTGATCGTACTCCCTCTCCCCGAAATATCGCAGAAAATATATCCTGGCTGTTGCGCGTATGTCCCCCTTCATCACATCATTGGCAGCACAAGCCACCAAGCACCGTTGCGGTCGTGGTTAACCTTGATGTAGTTTTCCGGGGTGGCCTTGGCGGGCAGCAGCGCGCCATCGGGCCCTCTAGCCCGAGGTCTTGCAAACCGCGCGCCGCGCCGCATCAGCTCGGCCCGGTCGAAAATCTTCACCGCCTGATGATTTTGGCGCCCCCCCCCCCCAAACACACACGCACACAAACATCGGTGGCAACATAGCGAGAGATAGTGGCGACGGGGTGAGAGGACGGGTGGCAGCTGACAACAAGAGAAACTGCCGCAGCTTGAGGGGACGTGTCGACGGCTGTTGGGTACAGCGCAACAACATGCGCAAAAGAGGAGTAGATCTGAAGAGCAACAACAAGTACAAGTAGTCCGGAGTGACCCAGTACATCACGTTAATATGTACACATGACTTGACTAGTCGGTTCTTCCTGGCTCTGCGCCTAGGTAATGCATTTGGGTTGCTTTCGCATTCAGCACGGTGGGTGGCTTTCGCGATCAGCAATGCCAAGACGAATTAACCCCGTCAAGAAACGGCATCAAATACTCTTCGCTGTAGGGATTGTCAAACCTGCTGGCGTCTGGGGATCTCTACCGTTCACATTTCTGATCTCCCCGTAGGCAAGCGAGCGTTTTTTGGATGGCGGTTTCGACGCAGCAACGTGGACGTCACTTGAAGAACTACCTGCTGTATGATGCGGCCTCTGAAATCGGTTTACGACCAGAGGAGTGTCACGAACATCAACGTTTTCGACGTCAACGCAAGCTTCTCCACCTTTACGCACATAAAGGTCTCCTCCGTCCAGCTCATCCCGCTCCTGGTCCCGACCATGGTCCTGCCCCCCCTCCTGCCTCTCCACCCGCTCCTTGTAAGTGTCGCCCCTAGCACGGCGCCGTCGTTGACCCTCACTCCCGCTACCGCTGCTGCCGCTGCGGCTCTCCTCCCCGCCCCCGCCACCGACCGTATCAGCGATACTCTCGCGGGTAGCCGACAATCCATTATCGTTTGTGTGTCGGTTGTCGATAACGCGATCTGGCGGCATCAGCAGCCGGCACAGCTTAACTTCCGCCGAGGAACCACGCCCGAGATCACGAACCACCACATACTCATTGACCTTTGCCACCGATCCTTACGAAAAGAAGTGTTTTGGTGGGAGGGGCGGGGCACGCGGACGGGGAGGGAAGTTGTTTGCCTGCATGACCGTGGTCGTCGATTCATAGAGAAACATACTAAGAAGAAGAGAAGGATGGGAGGGGGGGTAACAATAAAGAGCAGAGGGGACCCAAGGAAGAGAAATACGTCACCTGACGAAGCTACTGACCCACACTACGCAAGAAATTAGCTGCTGCAAAATGTTTGCTATAATATGCCATCACGTGGCATTGCATCACGTGGCATTGATATAATCGCAGAAGAAAAAAAATCGACTGATGCGACATTGTCCAATTCGACACCCTCAACAATATCGTAGCGACCAGGTGCCGAGAAAATCTCCACGCTGCAAGATCGTACGTACCGCCGTGTATTGGATGAAAGTTGCCAGAAGGCTTGGCCACAGAAAAATGTTGGCCTGCCGAGATCGACATGATGTTTAAAAATTGCACTACAGAAAGGTTCAGATGCTGCGCACAGGATATAGAGCCTTCAGGACACGCGCCTAGATCATACACCAGACGAATACGTGCATGCGTTGGTTTCGCAAAACGCTGCGCGCGTATATGGGGAAAGTCTGCGCTATGCGTATCTATTGACTGCCAATGCTTCAGTCAACGAACGGCCGACACCAACCTGCAACCTGCCACAACAAAACACAGTCCCCCCACATGAAGGCAGGGACGTCGCAGCGGTGGTTGTGTTCACACAAGGTTGCAACGACACACTGGAACAACGGTACTGGAAGGACGCATAGACTTGCGAGAACGCATCCAACGCTCAGATGGCACTGCACTTCGGAGGAAAGCCATAGCCTTCCGACCGTACACACGTGGAGGACAATTCGAGACACGAAACAGATATTTAGGTGGGTACATGCATGGAAACAGGGCAGTCTACGGCCACGCTGCGTTACTGCTGTATACCGCGGCATTTTCTCTCGCGATCATCGGTGTTTAAGGTGTTGCTCTTCGAGCTCCTGCACATATGCATAGCGATGGTCATGCGGTCAGCTCGAACAACACCGCTTCGTCATGCTTCTTTTGCAGCTCTCTCGAACCTGCCGAACGTGGTGTCGACAACCATAAATAGGGTCGGGTTCGTACCCTCTTCCGTACCCCACCGTCAAAGCTGTGCAGGCGTTCTTCGCGTCTCTCGATTCTCGCGTCACCCTCCAACTAGAGTACGCACGACGTGTTTCGTACCGGGTTCTTGACTAGTCTGTTCCCGAAAACGAAAATACTGCTACAAGCAACAGCAGTGATCAAAAGCAGCATGAAAATTCCTCGTAAATTGCAACTGGTCGACACTGGCGGAGGGCTTCATGGCTCTGCGGGAGCAAAAAACGCCTTCGATCTATTGGAACAGAAGCTCTCATTGGTGTGTCGATTTTCATATCGTGATTTATGTCGACAACGGAGAAGAAGTAACGCCTTCTTAACACTCTGATACGTTCGGACTATTACGCTCTCTCTGTCGTGGAGCAAGTGGTGTTTGATAGCGGCCCACAAAGCGGGAGAAGAGCGGTTGCTCTCCTCCGTATGATAGGGTAATCTTTCCTTGAAGAAGCCAGCAAAAAATGCAAACAGCGTGTTGTTGTATATATAGCAAGGAGGCTACCCACACCTGGTGTGTGCTATGTGTTTAGCCCACTGCTGGCGTGCGTTCTCTTATGTAGTGTACTCCCGAGTACATGCTGTGCTCGTGTGCTTGAGTTCGCTTACCGTCCGCCTTTCGTTCAACTTCCACGGACGTTGTATCGATGACTGGAGGGTCGTCTTGCTCCCGCTCGTTTTGCTTCACCCCGAAGCTACTGTTATTGCCTGAGGCTTCAGCCGCCGCTATGTCCACCGCGAGCATCCTCCTCCTTGCGCGAGAACCTCGCCTCTCCATCGTCGCCGGCACGGGAGCCGTGGACACCACGGTCGGCGCTGGGGTTAACAGTATCGTGTCCACCGAGTCGCTACGCCTGATGCAGCAACAGTCACCGATAAGAGAACCATGTCGCAGCCGCCGCGTGCCTTATATCTACATGACAAGGCGACCACGTAGCCTGTGTACCCTTCAAAGAAAAAGTCGGCATTGTGTCTACAGCAACAGCGGCGCGTGTGTTCCATTCGAGAAGACGACCGAAGTTGAAGTTGCTGTTGCCTTTACACCACGGCATTCTGACTTTCATCGACAACTTCTATCTTCAGAAAGAGTCAAACTGACGACACACCGAAGTTCCGCGTGTCAACAGATGTTCCCTGCCACTAAGAATAACTTCTTGCATTTGACCGAAGCTCGGGTGCTTGCCTCTGTGAGATAACAACATGCAGTTACTCTGCGAGTAGGTTTAATCCGGCGTGCAGATTCCATAGGCTTGGCCTAGGGGTTTCCGACCGGGAGTCAGAGCAGTTGTGTTATTTCTTATAGCACTGGGTAATTTCAATGGGTAATTGAGCCTTGATTAGTTCCTACGAATTCTTAAGTAATTTTGGGGCACGCAGTGTCTGACAGGTTTCGCAGGAAGAGTTTGTCGGGGAATTTTCTTGCTGTCGACGGAGTTGCGCTCGAGAGGGTGCACATCTTGTAGTCCGGACCCTGTCCCTTCAATGGCGGTTGCTTTCTTCACCAGATTATTCTACATTTTCTATGCAAAAACATCGAAGCACGCTCTCCATGAGCCCGGGCATGCTCCATTGAGACTCGCTCTCTAGAAAGAGAGTGCCGCATCGACCCGAAAACCGGCGCAATTCGACTCGGCGAAATTTGGCCTCACCCATCAACAACCGTTCTCTAAAGGACGCGCACACCCGCTTCACACCACGTTCTAGTCATCAAACCGTGTTCCACTTTACTGCTGCCCTTTCTTCACAACATAGGTTCTGCAAGAAGCAACTGCTGTGAATTGCATCAGAATTCACCCACCATGCAGCAGTAGGACGTGTCCCGTGCTGCTGCTCGAGCCCACCCCATGGTTTTATTTTCTCGTCATGCGTCCCAGCGGCCGCAGAGCAGTCCATGTTGTACAAAGCGCCTCCGACCCGACAGGGACGTCACTCTGTCGAAGTTCGGCTTGTGCCGAAGAGGACAGGGCTCCCACGCAGAACGCCAACCAGCAGGCAGAGCAACATAGAGTTGGAGGACATCACAGCGCGTCACGAGACAAATCAAACGAGAGCGGCATAACTAAAAAATAAACCGAAAAGGCACTTTAAGAGACTAGAGAACCACTTTCCTCCACTCCGCGTGACTCCTGCCATGCAACGGCGACCGCACTTCGAAAAGGTGAGGCAACTGGCAAGGTGCCGCGAGAGGAAGGCTATGCCGAGAGAGTACGACCCCCGACGATACGGACCCATTGCGAGCAGCAGCAGAGCCCCTGTGTCATCCCGGTCGGCATCTGCTGCGCCCGCGGGAGAGGTGCGTCGAGAGGGGCAGCTCGTGTTTTCGACGTCGCCTAGGCGGGGTGGTCGGCTGAGCTCCCAGCGACAACGACAGGGCCGCGTTGGTGTCGGCGGCGAGTGCTCTTGGCCATCGCGCAGTGGATCACCGAAATGGCAGGTCCCGTCGAGGGGACTGCGTTCTTTTTCCGAGGAAGCTGCAGTCTCTCACGGGTGCGTGTACATGTACAACTCAGCAGATGCGATGTGAGATGTGAGAGCGTGAAGAAGAAAAACGGCGGTTACACACACGGGTACACAATTTTCCTGTCTTGTTGAACGACGCCACGCATGCGTAATAGGGAGAATTCTGCATCACGCTCGTCCAATCGCTGTGACGTCTAGCGCTGCCATTGCGAGATACGGGCTGTGGAGCAGAGAATGAGCGATACCCGCGATATGCACGCTTGAACGTTTTTGGGAACAGATCGGTCAGCGGTAGGGGTCGAAAAAAAAAATGTAAAAATTTCAAAATTTTCAACCAACGCGTCAGTTGAAAACACACCAGCAAAAAAAAAAAAATGGTACAGGACGCGCCACTACTGGCTAGAGAACATCTTATTTTAGGTTTCGGGCAATGCTCGCGGCTTATTTGCCTCGGCGAGGAATCCAATAGAGAATACTTAGATTCTTGCATAGAGCACGTGCACAGCAGTATTTCTTCGCGACCAAGGTAGCGCGTGCAAGAATCCAACCCATTCCCCCAAAACCATTGACGGCTCTCAGAGAAGAGGGAAAGGGCAACAAAACGCGGGAAGATGACAACGTCTGTCTGGCACTTTGACCCACCGCTCGGTTCACGGGGCGGACAAAAACAGGCCTGCGTGCCGAACCACCGATATTCAGGGCGTTGCTTGTGATGTGTACTGCTTTGAAGTGTGCGCCGAGCCAAGCAGGCTAACAACATGGCCTGGGGATCTGTGCTTGTTGGATGGTCGACTAAAAATACGGATACAGGTACCGCAGCAGCTGCTGCGATGAACTTGTGGACTGCAGTTGTTGACAGCTCCTCTACGGTAGACGACACACACGAACACCGCTACGTTTATCACCCCACAGCTGCGGTCCAGCTCTGCTGTGCTAACCGCGGCGTGATCTGTCTCGATTTTGCAGCCACGGAGAATCGCGGATGGCTGCGGCACCGGAAGGCGGCACGAGAGGAGAAAGGGCTCACCGGCAGCTGCACGCCCGGCGCGCTCCTTTCAAGGACATCAACACCACCGCGTCGACTTGTCTCGAGTCGACTCGTGACACGGCAGACGCTGCCGCAGCGACAAGCGGTAGCAGTGACGCCGCCGCCGCTGCTGACACTGGCCACGAGAGCAGAGGTCGCACGCGAAGGAGGTCTCTCAGCTGGCACTGCCGCGAGAAACTCGGCGGTGATCTACAACAGCGACAACAGCCCCCTGCGACGACTCCGACGTATTCCTCTTCCGCCTTTTGTCCGTCTCCTTCTGCCTTCAGCAGCTACAACAACGCCAACATGCTGATCGACAACAGCAGCAGAATCAACGACGGCAGTTGCAGCTGCTGTACCACCCCGCGACAGCAATATTTTTGCTGCGAGTCGATGCTGCGGAGCACTAACTGCGGCAGTAGCGTCAGCAGTGGCAACGAGGCAGCAGGCGAAAGAGAAGGAGGGACGAGACGCGAGGCTCGGGGGAGGAGGCGGGGGCGGTCGGCCGGAGAACCGGGCAAGGAGAGGGGGTCAGGAGGGGCTGGGTGTGGCGAGAGCATTGACGCGGAAGAATTGTTTCGCCGGAAAAACAAGGTGCCTACAACGAAATTCTGCTGTACAACAATAGCCACTGATTGTTGCCCTTGTTGTTGTTGTTGTTGTTGTTGTTGTTTTTGAACTGCAACTTGCTTCCTCTTGCTGTTGTCGTCTTCCGGTGCGGGCAGATGGCATGCTTCAACGTGACCTACGGGAGGTGGGCGGAGAGCTACGACCGCGCCATGGCCAGGCGTGCGTCCCTCGAGCGAAGAGAGCGCCTCGAGATCGAGCGGGAGAACGACCTCAGGCGCCAGCGCGCAGAGGAAGAGTTTCAGGTGCGACGCTTACGCCTCATGCTTTGCTTGCGATCTGTTCGGTTTCTTTCCAGGGAGATGGTAGTCTACGCCTACAGCAGAAAGCAGGAGAGAAAAGCGCCAGGACCAAGCAGTTAATGATTTTTCTGCTGGGATGAACATCACCTTTTCCATCGCGGGAGGGCTCTACTTGTCGGAGCTCTGGAGGTCATGTTATTTGCAGGCCGCCACATACCCTGGAGGTTTCCTCTCGCTCCCCTTTAGGTCTTAGCGGTAACAGGCCACCTGGTTGCATTAAGCATCCAGGACCTGAATCCACATCGTAGACTGCAATGCCAGCATTTCCCACGAAACGTTTCAATCCGTTTTGTTTTTCCGGGGGGAGAGGGTGACGCTTGCAATGGCGTTCAAGGTGCGTTGCTTTCCTCTGACGTGAAACTCCAATTTCTCCTTCTTTTGTGCTGCTCTGTTCTCCAGAAGTGGATGCGGAGCCACGGACGGCGATCGACCTCTTCTTCAGGTGGTGCCGCTGCTGCTGCCTCTGCTGCCGCGACTACTCCCGCCGCCGCGCCTGCTCTTGGCGCGAGATCGTCTTACCACGAACGAGCTTCCTCCGCTTCCCCTCGCCGCCGACGGCGGCGGCTGACGCAAATGAGGAAGGAGTCGTGGACGGACGGGGAGCGGGACAAAGGGGTGGGCGGCAGCGGTAGCACTCCTCGCAGTCCTTCCAGCCGCCACTCGCCGTTCGCTTGGAGCGAAGAATGGGCTCCTTTCTCCTCGGCGGGAGGGCGAGGGGATGACGGCGGTGTTAGGGTTGGCGGTAGCAGTAGCGGCCGTTGCGGCGGCGGCGAGGAGGAGGAAGAGAAGAAACGGAGACGGGAAGAGGAGGAGCAGCGGCGGCGGCGCGACAAGGCGGATCGAGCCTTCCGCGAGTGGCTCGGCCGCAAGAAGAGGGAGGCGCAGGCCGACCGCCAGGTGCAAAGGCGGAAGGAGGAGACTCTCGAAAAACTTAGGTGTGTGTGAGTTTCTGCTCTGTGTGTGTGTCCTTGTTCAACCCGGGTTCTTGTAGGGGGCTTGGTTTGAACGCAATACGCAGCCCGTGGTGATTCGACGTTGTGGCCGACAAACCAAGCGGGATGCAGCAGAATTGGTGGTCCCGCACGCATTTTCGTGCGGGTGAGTAAGTAGCCGGGTGACACAGATGGCTTTAAGGGAATGACTCATTACTACTGGTGGCTCGACCAAAAGTGTACATTGTATTTGATTCGTTGCATTCGTTTTGTCTTAGGACCTGCCGGCCGGTGGCTGCAGGGGAAAGTCGCGTGTGCTCTTCCTTGAGAGTCTAGAGCACTACTGTAGTCCACCCCTTGTTGTTGTCTTCACCTTAAAAAACCGTTCCGACCTCTCTCTACCCAGTACCTTCATATGTCCGTACTGATCTAACACTTGACGCGGTCGATTCCCGTGGTCACAGGCTAACTTACCCTAAAAAGAAACACTCAAATAAATTGGCCCCGAGGGGTTCGCAAGTCAATAAAAATCAACGACAGATATTCTGGAGTCCTCCGCTCCCTCTGAGCGCTATGCGAGGTAACAACTGAGACTAGGAGTCAGCATCACGGGCTAGAGAGAAAGAAGTACACCCCCTTGGTTCAATCTTGGTGCTTCACACGCAAGCAGAGTCAAGGCGATCTGACACAGAAAAAGAGAAAAAAAGAGAGAGAAAGAGGTAAGAGAGAAAAAATAAAAGGAAACAGGAAGGAAAGAGAAAAGCAAACGAAAAAGAGCGAGGGCAAAAAAGGGACCACGCCGAAAATAACGAGAAATAGGAGAGGAAAAGGCACACGGTGGAGAGACCCCTAACGAACAAGCAAACACGCAAACATGGCCACCAACCAGCGATATATTGTAATGGTACATCATCACTAGTGGGGGGTTGGTGCAATGGTGCAGCGTTGGGGGGAGGGGACTGGCTAAAAGAATTCAATCCGGCACGTATCACGCCACTCGGTCCGTCTCTTCCCTAGCACAACACCGAAACTCGTCCAAGGGTGTATGGTTGGGTGGGTGGGCGAGGTAAGGAGTCGTTATTTGACGCGTCCCCCCCACCCCCCTTCGTCCCCCCCGGTGTTTGCCATCGGGGTTGGGTTTTCGTCGCTTGGCAACAACGTTGTAAAACAAGCCCCCCCCTCGGTGTTTGCCATCGGGAATGGGTTTTCGTCGCTTGGCAACGACGTTGTAGAACAAGTCAATGCACTTCGTGAACTCGGCAACCAGGTTACCTTTTTTTTTTTTACCTCTGTTTTTTTTTTGGCGGTAACCATAATGGTGGTCGAGTAGATCATGTCGCGCGGGGTGGAGAACCCTCACTCCGCGCAAGGGGGAGGATCGCACCTCGTTGTGTTAAAATGATCAAGCATCCTCGAGGCAGTTACACAGTGCTTACAACTGTCTCTGGAAGTGAAAGCACCAGGAAATAAATTAAGTCATACGCAGCTGTCATCCGTACGCAAGGAAGAAAGCACAGGATGCCGAACACTCTTAGCAGGATGCAGCGCACTCTTCATGCGACTCGCCGAATACCTCACGGCGCTTCGCGCTTGGTGATGTGAGAGCCTGGTCCGGTGAGAACCGGGCGTGCTCCGTCCCGGCTTTGTAGGGATGCGAGGTCAATGGTCTCACGACTACGGCATGCACGACTATGAGTACCCCCCCCCCCCCCCCCCCCCCCCCCCTC